ATAATATGTACTGTATCTTCGATATAAAACTGAAATTGATAGTTTGCGTTATTTAGTGAATTTTTAATAAAACAGTTTGGAAAATTCATAATGTACTATACAAATCAAATGAAAGATTACACTTACCATCGTGATTTTACTTATTTTCATTCAATTATAAAGTTCAGTTTTCTAATTTTAAGACGAAATTTCGTTACAACAAAAAACAACAATGCACCGAAATAATGTAATTTCTTGATTGTTATGGTTTGATTATATTAAGCATGCATAATTGCGCGTGTCTCTGAATGTAAAAATAATTGGAAAACATAACGATATATTATGTTTTCCAATTATAAAATTGTTTATTAATGAATCGCATGTGAGGAAACTAATAGAGTAACGCTATGAATTCTGTTTCTTGTTTAATTTAATTTTGGATTGTTATTATTTTGCTTTTTCTCCTCTATTCTCAGGAATTGTAAAAGCGCGGTCTGATAATACTCAATAGGAGTGTGTGAGTTTACACAAATGGAAAACCCTACAATTTTTGTGTATTTGCACTGACGAAATAAGGAACGTATTCAAAATAATCTTTTTACTTCTATTTTTAAAAATTATGTACATTATTATTATTTATATATGACACTGTGTCCATACGCGTATTTCAAGTATCTAACACAAATATAAATACACTATAACACTCTCACAACAAAAGTAATGACAATAGAACAAAAATAAAACAATCAACATATAATGTCGAACATGATTCAAGCTGCTGATACCATCTTTAAATTGTTTGTAAGTTTTCTCACGATTGTGTTTTTCTTTTAGTCAATTCCAATTGTATAGAATTTAATAGATCGGTGTGATTCGGCCGAAACTGTGTCAGAAATGAAGAAGAGAGTCTAGAGACAACGTGCGGAAATAACGCACTCCAGTGCAGTAACAACAATTTGTCTGTTAAAAGTTAGATCAAATTAATAAGTGTGTGACATAAATAGAAAGTCTATTCTAAAAGCGCATGGAACAGATAGACAGTGTTTACAACTTCGGATGTTTGTCAGTAAATACAGAGCGAAGATGGTCGATAAACATTAATATATTTTGAATAAAAAAAGTAGAGTGGTTATGCTGGGTCTTGAATCCAAAAGTCCAAACAAGTAATATTCACAATAAAATCCTATCAATAGTTCTTCAGTTCAGACAATCTAAAAACCGGTGAAAATGCGGGAAACTCGAGAAGAACCGTGGAGATAAGCACTCACAAATTCGGACAGACTAACTTTTCGTCGTGATTCATTTCGGGTGGTACTCTAATGCCCATGTAGGTGACGATGATGGGTGCATTAATCTTCGATTTTTCCTCAGATTCTCTTGATGAATAGGCTTTTGTAAGCCGTGTCACTCACGAAAGAAGTACTCTCCGTAGGAAAAGTTTATGAAGTTCCTAAACTATACCCATGACATGGAACTTTTTTCTTTTACTGTTTATGATAAAATCGTTCAATCAAATTTCTCACAAATACATATATAAATGAAAAAATTTGTTTATTTGTTCGTTCGTTTTCTATAAATTTCTAGAACGTTCGATCAATTAGTATGGCACTAGGCAGTTCTGTTCATATTCTTTTGAATTAGATAATGTCTGAAATTTCACTTCAAAATATCGAATGTTTCTGTAAAGTAATTAATTTTTAAACTACATTCGATATGCTGATTTGCACGTAGGGATACCTAGCCAATTGATACAAAGCAGTGTTTCAGAATAATACTACTAGCCGACGATGCGAATTTTTTAACCTCGCAAGTTATTGTCCATAAAAATAGCACTAGGATCTAATGGTGCACGCATGGGGAGAGCACTATAAATTGATACTCGAACTTACTTACTGTAACGATTATTGTGATATTATAAAAATAATTTTCTTTAAAATTATGTCGGTAATATCACAATTTATAATAATGATAACTGCGATTTATAGAACTGCTTCTAACTGTAGCACATTTTTTGATATACTTAAATCAATTATTTTGACTAAAGACTTACCGACTACTGATTATTGGTAATTATAATATTGACTTAATAAAAGAACACTTTTCGTGTATTAATAAATTAATAAACTTTTGTTGTTCTGAAAATTTAACAATAATTGCACATCATAATTAACAGACTCGAATGGATAAATACACTCGTTGGTTGACTATGGTTCTACCAACGTTATTAAGTGTAGGTTTTTCACCCATACAAATTAACTCCCATTCCTCTTTTTTTCCTTGGAAAGAATCTCGTTGATCACAAACACAATAAGGAAACAGGAGATCAACAAATACTCTATGAAATGTTAATAACGTGCTTTCTACTCGTGTTTTTCTTGGAATTATTACTACACTTTTGATTTGTTATCTGAACAGTCAGTTGATTATCAACTGAGAAAGGTCAGCTACTCTTCCTCGAAATATCGCCTATCTACGAAATAATGTATAGTTAAAACGCTTTAGAAAAGAATAAACATCTGAAAACCTACAGACAACTCAGACTCTATCAAAAGCTTGAATTATGTTTAATTTTGTCTGTTAATTGTATTTTTTCTGTATGCTCTATTTGTATTTTCTTTTTACAGTGGAAAAAAGTAAATAATTTACTTGAAATAATATAGATATAAGAGAGACAGAAATATGCAATTTTTTAAATTTAATTGAAATTTATTCAATTAAAGCATATCGAGTTTACAAATGTAATATATAAATTAAGTGTTTCATCGATGTTTAGATCTTTTGGTTTTCGTAAGGCAATAAATGAGTAAAAAATAACTGAATAAATCTTATTTCTTTCAAATATTACGAAGTTCATATCAAATAATTTTCGCTATAAATTAAATTAGATGTATACTTTCTAAGATGATTTCACATATATCGCAAACTGTAACTGAGCTTCTTGTCCTGATAATTCACTTTTTCCTCCGTTATTAGATATCAAAATATTAATAATCCGATATCTTATTAATTTAATAAATTTCGAAAATTAGTTGTCCGGAATTAATTAATCAAACGGATGGGAGTTTCTTTCGCGTTCTTTAAGCGAAACGTCGTCGAAAAATTGTTCACCACAGAACGGACATTCCAATTTAATTTCTTTCACGTCCATTTCTGGGAAAAATGTCACTTGTGAGGAATCTTCCTGTTGGATAATTCCTATGTTGGCGTTAATAGTTTCAAGGAATTCTTCACAATCTTTTAAAGTAAAAAGATTCTCTTACAATGAAATTTTTTCAAATTCTATTGACTCGGTTATTTGAAAACTAACAAGTTTTCAAATAACCGAGTCAATAGAATTTGAAAAAATTTCATTGTAAGAGAATTTGTTCAAGCGGAAAATTGATGGTTGTTCAAGCGATTTTTTCTGCTGTTGTTGAAAGTCTTGTGTACTTTTCTGAAAGTAAACAACATAAATAACGTAACTGCACACCATTTACTAGTATGGGGATTGCATGAAAGTATGTAATTTTAGATAACTGTATACTGTATTATATATTTGTAATGCTATAAAAGTTGAGAAATTTTTAACCTGATTAAAGTAACATATTTCTATATTTTATAACAAAAGTGTGAATTTTCATTTTTCACAAATTTTGAGTAATCGGTAAACAAATATAAATGCTTTTCGGTAAAGTAATGTTATCAACGAAAACTCAGAAAACAACAGCGTAAAATAAAAAAAAATATAATTACGAGTGAAAAACAGCAGTTGTTAATTTCTGTGAAAACAAAGAAGTCATCGTTTTTTAATTATTCGATAGATATTTGTGTAAATCCACAGAACAAAGACTTTCACACATCAAAGTAAATTTTCCTACACTTATATAATTGAATTTGTATTTGAGTGTATTTCTTCATAATTATTCAATAGAAAATCAAACGAAATTCGATGTCTATAAATTGTTATTCAATCGTAATGAGTGAAAATGAAGTTTATTCGTGAAAATATCGATTTTCTGAAGTAGAATTGTATTTAATGAGTTGTAATTTGGAAAATTAATTATAATGTCTCGTGTTGAATACATAAAATGACAGAAACGTTTCTTTTCCGGCTGCTAATCGAATGACTCGTAGTTTATACAAAAAATGCTGTCTGCGCGTATTGATGGCTGATATTAGACGAAAAATTCAGAATCGTTGTATATTTTAATTACAGGAATTTTCTGTTAATTAAGAAAAAAACTTATTTTCTCGGACTACTGAATGAAACAAATACACGTGTTTAGAATATATGCGAGGAATGAATAATGAGAGAATGTGTGCTCGTTAAATAAGTAAAGTTATTATTATAATGTTTTCACTTTAATACTCGATTATTTGAAAAAAGTTTAGTCATTAATTTAACGTATTTATACACTTACTTTGGAGAAAGATGGAGTTTTCTCTTTCGAATGGATCCTTCTGATGTGTGTGTTAAATTATATTTGGTAGTGAAACTGCCGTTACACGAAAATAAACGCTTTTTAGTGTGAGTTCTCATGTAAATCTTTAAAGCAGCGGGAGATGGAAAAACTTTTGTACATATGTTACATTTACGGCTTATTATCTTTGGGTCGTTTGGTGAAATCTAATTATTTAATAAATTTTTAGTTAATTCTCAACAATATTTAAAAATATAAAACGTAACTTTTTAAACAAAAGAAGTTCATGACAATTTTATATGAAAAAGTTTTTAAATGGTTTCCACCGTATATTTCATTGTAATGATGTTGAAATTAAATGTAAAAAATTTTGTTCACGTTTCATTATATTATATATATAGAAAAGTATTTTATAAAAATAGAGCTAACGAGGTGCTGCAGAGTAATTTTCTTAAATTATATTATTGACACTAGCAATTATGCACAGTCGAACAACTGTTTTTGGAAAGCTTTTCGACTGTAATCTAAATTAAACTTAAAAAGATAAAAATATTTTATAATTCAAACATTCACTTAATAATACGGTGAACAATAAAGAAAGCTTAATTAAAATGCCTCAATGTTTTTTTTTATACTAAAATATAAATTTTCGTCTACAAGTATGTATCTTCTAATATCAGGAATTATTATACAGGCTCTACAGATACTGCTACAGAGTTTCACAGAAAACAATTTTTTTCACAGAAAATAAAATATTAAATAAAATAAAAAATTGTTTTTTGTGAAACTCTGTAGTATTATCCGTAAAGCCAGTATAATAAGTCCTGATATTAGGAGATACGTACTTGTAGAAGAAAATTTATATTTTAATAAAGAAAGCTTTTCTGGGGTTTACACTTTATAAAATGCAAATAATAAATTAGAAAATAACAACACGAAGGTGGATCTTGCTTTTATCAATAAGAATATCAATTATAAGAGTAATAATTGAGAGTATAAAGAATGATTCGCTTAATAATATAACATTATTGTAATTAAAATTTTATATTATTCACACTTATCATAAGTTATTAAGTAATTACACTGATGAATTTATTATGGACTAGCAGACCCCGCCACGCCTTGTTGTGGCTCAAAATGTATCTACCCCCGTGGGGGGAAAAATTTTTCGAAAAATTTCTTCTTAGTGTACATTCTCTTGACGTACCCTATTAAAACGCAATCAAAAACGCAAAAACCCGCATCTAAAATAGTATAATAGAAGCCAAGTTCTTCACAATAAGCCTTAATCCTGTCTTTCTCCCCAGCGGGGGGAATATCGAAAAATATCTTCTTAGTGTACATTCTGTTGACGTACTCTATTAAAACGCAATCAAAAACGCAAAAAACCGCATCTAAAATAGTATAAATAGAAGCAGAGTTCTTTACGGTAACCTTCCCCGTAAGGCTTACCGTAAAAAAACTGTCCATCTCCCATGTTTAACGGAATAATATACAGCCTGTGTCCACCCTGAAGTTCCATTCTAAATATTGGTGAAAGAATTTTTGAAATCGGATGAGTAGTTTCGAAGATTACCCGCTGCATATAAACTTACATACATACAAACATTACCTCTTTATAATATTAGTATAGATAACGTCTATCCTATTTTATAAATGTTTATGAGTGATTAATTGGCAAAGGTTAAATACAGAGAACGGGTTTCCATAGAAAATACGAAGAAACGGAATGAATTAAAAATTTCTGAACGAACGTCAAAACGAATAGAAAACAATGAAAATTTTTAAGCGCCAAAAGAACGATAATTATATTTACAGTTGCATATTAATATTATTATTTTAATATTTCTTCGTGTAAAGTAACACAGTTGCATCGAGTATTGTTTGAAACATTAATTGAAGGTTTTATTTTATTTTGTATATTGATGTTTTGTCTGTTTATTTTATAACTTTTACCGCTTTGATATTTGAAAAATAAAACTAAAATGAAAATATAGAAACTCGTGGTAATATTTACTTTAGATAAAATCTCATCGGAATGCCATATGTACAGTACATGTGTTGTTTTATTTCATATTTCCGTTTAAAACGCTCTTCACAGCCCTTGTACTCGCACTTGAACGGCTTTCATCGGAGTGCACTTTCGTATGATGTATCAAATTGCTCTTATCCGAAAAGGTTTTTTCGCACAAATCGCATTTAAACGGCTTTTCGCCCGTATGAGTTCGAATGTGCTTTTCCAAATGCTGTTTATGAAGACATTTCTTGCCACATGTCGGGCATTGATGTTTTCGGTCCTTTTAAAATAATTCGTTTAATAACAATAAATAATTTGTGAAAAGGTTAAATTAAAATTATTTACGATAGTATTAATTATTGTTATATATTATAATATGTTTAAAAAGTTCATAATATTTACATATAATTATATCTTCGATATAATATTGAAATTTTTAATAAAACAGTTCGGGAAATTTTAAATGTATTATACAGATAAAATGAAAGATTTCACGTACCATTTATTATATTACTTATTTTAATTTAATTATCTTATTTAGTCTTTTAATTTCGAGTAGAAATATCGTTAAAACAGAAAACAACAATGCGCCGAAATAATGTAATTTCTTGATTGTTATGTTTTGATTATATTAAGTGCATGATTATATAATGATGCATGTCATTGAACCTAAAAATAATTGAAACAAAAACGATATATATTATTGTTTTTTTTTGGCGCTGGAAAATTTTTGTTGTTTTCAATTGGTTTTGTTTGACGTTCGTTCAAAAATTTGAAATTAATTACGTTTCTTTGTATTTTCTATGAAAACCCGTTCTCTGTATTTAACCTTTGCAATTAATCACTCATAAACATTTATAAAATGGGATAAACGTTATCATTAATAAATTCATCAGTGTAGTTAATTAATAACTTATGATAAGTGTGAATAATATAAAATTTTAATTACAACAACGTTTAATTTTTAAGAGAATCATTCTTCACAATTATTACTTTTATAATTGATATTCCTATTGATAAAGGCAAAGGTTGAATACAGAGAACGGGTTTGCACAAAAAATGCAAACATTTTACTTTTTCCTATTAATACGTTTATATTACGTTTAAAATTCAAATTAACGAATTAATTGAAGGTTGGGCTTTGATGNTGGATCTAGTTTCAAGAACTCTCTCCAGTCGATCGCGATTTAGCCTCGTTTCAGTCGAGATTGAAACGGTCGAGAGCGTTCGCACCACGGAACTCTCTCCGACCTTAGCCACAATCTAGATCGAAATGCTCGGTGCGAACGGGGTATAGACAGAAAGAGCGAGTATACTTCTCTGCGGGATATCTCTGGGACGGGTAAGGGCTGAGACCGGACGAACCGCAGTAGAGCCAATTCACAGGTCTGTCTTGATTGTGGAAGTGAGCTTTCATCGAACCAACATCAGAACAATATCGAGTAGTGCTTAATTTACGAACCAACTGCAGAAGATGGAGTTTAGGGAGAAAACTTCACTCAATTAAAACGTGGATTCTTAAAAGTACAGTACAATTTATTTTCAAAGAATAAATAGAATAAGTACCGTGGACGTGGAAGGAATGTCTTCAATGTGGCACTGCTTATGTTCTAACCATTTCTCATTCGACCGAGTGCTGAAGGAACATAAATGACATTGAAATACTATTACCGACAATCTAGGAATATCGTCTTTGTGGTCTGCTTTACATTGTTCATCATCCTTGTTTTCGTTATTTGTACTTATTAGTGCAGACGATGTTTTATTAGAAGAGGCCTTTAAAAATTTCTGTTCTTTGTCCTGTTGTTGAGATTGCTTGAAAAGAAAAAATATCAACGATGAGTAAACCAGAAAAACAGATTTATATTATTTCTGCATTAAAGCGTAAAACTTTTATCATTAAAATTATATAAATCTTATAAATATATATTGTAAAGTTATAGTTTATCTTACTTAAACTATAAAAACTTTAAAAAAAACAAGAAAAATGATTGAAGAATAACGAAATTAAGCAGGATTTTTATTTAATTAAATTACGTTCGAGTACTCGAAATAATTTGCTGACACAATTTAAACGAGAGCGTAATTTCATTAAATATTCTATATATGAAAATTCAAAGAAAATTTGCTTTGTTAATCTCAAAAATTCAGTAAAATGTCTATTTTATGGATCTATTTAGGATAGTTCAAATTTGACACGATACCCTATTTCTTTCTTTTTCTTTTCGTTATAAACATATAACAACCGTAAAACGTATCAAGTGAAAGAGGTGAAAGATCAATAAACAATTCCGGACAGAGTCAAATGACAAGTGGAATTGTACTCAGACCATCGACCTTTGTCACGTCCTAATCTGTATCTTACATACGGAAACGGAGTGGCGAACAATTCGGAAGCGAAGAAGTAGATCTAAACCAATCGGAACACTTAATCCGATAAAATCCTATTTAAACTGTGTACTCAAGAACACTGGAATTTTTCTATAAATTCTTCAGTTGTATTCTCTCCCGCTTTCTTCTTTCGCAACGGCATAAAGTTACAGCAAGTTCTAATATTTTGTTTTAGGCTCGTATATTTCGGCTATTCGGACGAATTACCCAAAGCTATTTCCAAAGCATCTCGCCCAAAATCATACATATTCGAACCTTTCTTTAACACACATATCAAAATACCTGAATTTTATAGAATATTTTATGCTGTTTTTAAATATATACACCGATTTTTTCCATTATGTCCACTTTTATGTGACAGTCACTTTAAAAGAAAAAGGTATTTATTTAGACACAATGCATACACTTATTGATTTATCTTTTATAAAATGGAGAAAATTTTTACTATGTTGGGCGTTTGAAAAATCCATCTTGAGAGGTCAACAGTAACCAGCAAGTATTCTAAAATTCCACTGGCCTTGATACCTTTTTCCTATGGTAGAGATGTATTGATTGGAACGTAACACGTGTTCGTCACTGACAGCTTTACCGAAATTGTCAGGAAAGAAATCCAGGTTGGAATCCAAGATATGCATTTCGAGGGACATATTACATATTATATCCTTGTTAGTTTGTAAAAGACCATTCTTAATTTCGCAGTAATTTAGAAATACCATGTATGTCATTACTGAAACAATTTTATGCAACACCTTCGAATGACTTTCATTCTCACTTTTTAACAGCGATTAACAAGTTTTCAAATTTCTCATCTTTAATTAAAGTTCTTATTTGTGGATCTACGAAAATTCCAGCTTTAATTTTAGCATCACTTATATGAAGTAATATTTCCGTCAAATAATGAAATTTAGCATTGTCCGCATTCACAATTTGCAATCAGCATTTACATTGACAAAGTTTTTGAAAAGTCTTAACTTTACATAAAGTGGAGGTAGAAGAACCATATTAGCATTGAATAATGGGGTGTAATGATATTTTTCTGGCCAGGAATAAACGTTTCACGCCTTTCCTTCTTCAGGTAATGTTTTTTCTTGTCTCTGCTGTTCTACCCACACAAGAAACATCAAAATTTAGTATAGTCAATTAATAATGCAACGACTTTTAAACCACAACATATAATTAAATTCTACTTTTGAAAATGACTTTTTTTCAAGTACGACTTTCATAGGTTTTTTATTTTAGTCGAATAAGCTAATGGCACAGAATAAAATTTATTTCTATTGGGTAAAAGCACAGCCTTAAAATTAATTTTAGACAAATCAATGAACAGTCTCCATTTTGTGGTATTATGTTTATTATCATGTGCATTCATCACAGCACTAATATTATTGCAATAAACCAAACTACTTTCTTCAGAATACTTATCATGAAAATCTTTTTGACGATTACGAAAAAACACACTTTAATTGTCCGATGAAGTAAATGACAACGGTTTAGTCGAGAAACTAAAAGTTCAGCCTGTCTTTTAGACAAGTTCAAATGCATAAGAAGTTCATTTAGCTCGCCTCGAGTTAATAAATGAGGTCTCTAAGTGGAGGCGTTCGTCTCAAAATCAGGATATTTTTTTCCTCGTTTTCGACTTCTTCATATCTTAAGTCTCCCCCAGTAAAATGTTCTGGCAGAGATGGTACAGGTATATTCTAACAATGAGGAACTGGCCTCATAGCAGATGGTAAATTTAGGTACTTCACAGTTGGTTTAGATTTACTAGTTATTCTTTTTATGGTAGTCAAACAAAAATAACAGTGCGTAACATGATTTTTTGGTTTACGCCAAACTATGGGTACTGCAAAAATCAAACGTAGAGAATAGCCTTTTGCCCACTCTATCAGATGTTTTACTCAAATTGAACATATGATATGTGGTACCAAATTTTTATTCTGATCGCCCAATTTACAATCAAAATATAGTTTATAACATTTATTAATTAACGAGCCCAATTAACCGTTTTCGTTAAGTTAAAAATGTTAATTTTTTACATATCAAGATAATTTACATATTTCCTTGCTATATTTTCTTCGGAAGGTAACAAAATACATACAGCTAAAAATCACAACACAAAAGTTCATCTTCACTTAATGCAAATCCCACAAATTTTGTAGAGTATTGCCTGTGGGTGACGTGTCATGTTGTGTGATTTTTATTCTGCTATCTGGGTAACAAGTTGGTAAAACAAACTTGTTAAACGAATTCCATCTTTGTCCCTTGTCCGCTGCAAGCGGTGCAAAAAAGTTTTTGTGGATGGCCAGACATGGAGCCAAAATTTATATCTATGATTACGGAAAATCAGAAGATGATAGAAAAATTTTGATCCCATGGTTGTAAATACAAAAAGTCCTATTAGATACAATTTCCTTTTCTCCGTGTGCCAAAAATTATGTTAAACAGTGTAATTTATAAGGCGGCACGTTAACCTAATGTAACCAAACATATTAATTTTATGTTCATTTGTTTTTTGAAACCGTGTTCTGTTTTATATTTGAGGCGTAGTAAACACTAGTATTGTGTTTTATTTCAAAGACACATGGCAAATTTTCCATCAAATTCCTTTATTAGTTGAGTCGATACGGTACATTGTTTTGTACTTGTTTCGGGGTTTACTACGCCATGAATTTTATGTGTTAACAACGAGTTATATATGTACAGAGTGTTTCATAAGTTTGGATCTAATGTTTTAACACAAATAAAATGAATTTCCGAGTCATCGTTTTTTAATTATTCGCTAAACGTTTATGTAAATCCACAAAACAGCGACTTTTGTAAAACAATGTAAATATTGCTACACTTGAGTACACTAAAATCCAAATGCAAATATATACCTGCATAATAATTCAATACAAACAGAAAAACAGTTTGATCGCCATTAATACTGATTCAGTGGTAACGAGTACAAATAAAGTTTTATCAATAAAAGTGTCAAATGTCTGAAGTAATATTGAATTTTTATAATTTGAAATGTGTAGAATTAATTATAATATCTGACTTGTATATGAAATTACACAGAAACGTTATGATATCGAATGACCCGAACCTCTTAGGAAAAGTTTTAATTTGCGCGTAATTATCGATGTATTTAGACAGAGAATTTAAAATCGTTGTATATTTTAATAGAGATATTACCTTGTTAATTACGATATAACTTATCTACTCAGAAAATCGAAGGAAACAAACGTTTAGAATATATGCGTTGAATGAATATTGAAACAATGTGCGCTCGTTAAATAAGTGAAGTTATTATTGTAATGTTTTCACTCTAACACACGATTGTGTGTTAAAACCTTAGTCATTAACATTTTTATATACTTACTTCGGAGCAAGATGGAGTTTTTTCTCTCGGATGGATTCTTCTGATGTGTCTGTTTAAAGCACTTTTCTGAGTGAAAGTGCAGTTGCAAAAATTACACGAAAATGGCCGCTCTCCAGTGTGAGTTGTCAAGTGAATTCTTAAAGCAGCGGGAGACTGACAAACTTTTAAGCAGAAGTTACATTTACGGCTTATTATCCTCGGGTCGTTTGATGGAATCTAATTATTCAATAAATTTTTAGTTTATTGTTAACAATTTATAAAAACATAAAACTTAACTTTCAAATGCAAATTCTTTATGTGAAATATTTATGAAAAAGTTTTGAAACGTTTCATTTCCACGATTTATTTTATTGTGATGATGACGTAATTAAAAGTAATATTTACTTTAGATAAAATCTCATCAGGATGCATTCTGTACATGTGTTGTTCTAACTCGTTTTTCCGTTTATAGCTATGTTCACAGCTATTGCACTTGAATGGTCTTTCATCGGAGTGCACTTTCATATGAGATGTTAAATTGCTTTTCTGCGAAAAGCTTTTTCGGCACAAATTGCATTTATAGGGCCTTTCATTCGTGTGAATTCGCATGTGTACTTGCAAACGGCTTTCATAAAAAAATTTCTTTTCGCATATCGGGCATTGATGTTTTCGATCCTTTTAAAATAATTCGTTAAATAAATATAAATAATTAGTGAAAAACGTAAATAAAAATTATTCTGGATAATATAAATTATTGTTATATGTTATAACAATATGCTAAAAATGTTTATAATATGAACTCTATCTTCGATATAATATTGAAATTGATAGTTTGTGTTATTCCCTGAATTTTTAATAAAACAGCTTGAGAAATTCAAAATATTATGGAAATTAAATAAAAGAATTCACTTACCATTATAATTTTTTTTATTTTATTATTAAATTTAGTTTTTGCAAGTCGAAATTTTGTTACAACAGTAAACAACAATGCACCGAAATAATGTAATTTCTTGATTGTTATGGTTTGATTATATTAAGCATATTTAATTGCGCATGTCACTAAATCTAAAAACAATTGAAGACACAAAACGATATATATATAATATCTTCTGTATTGGAGAAACGCATGTGAGGAGACAAATGGAGTAACGCTATTTCTGTTTTTTGTTTAACTTATTTTAATATTTAATGTTAATAAATAAGCTAAATTTATTATTACGTTTTTAATATACAGAATTCTTAATAATAAAACTTAAATTTCAGGTTTCATCGTAAACATTGCTAACAGTAAATATATATAAAAAAGAAAATATAATGTTTCACGATGCAAACATTCATTTACTTCTTATGAAACTGTAATAAAGGTGTATCTTGTGATTCGTTCATAGAAATGAATAAAAGACAACCCGAACAAACTAAAATCATAAATTTAATCTGATATATATATAATACGATGCCATATTTTTAGGGTCTATAACTCTAAAGTATAGAGTAAACTGTATTCGCTTGTGCCACTAACTATAGGTGGCGTATGAGTCGACTAAAATGGCTGCCACAAAGGGTGTAGCGTGCCTGTCAACATAGACAACACAAAAGTGACTCTCGTTTGTAATAACTTCTCTCTCTGTAGTGAAAACGTTTTATCCGCATTCTTGTCCGATATAAACAACTACGAAATCAACTAGGATTAATATCATGATGATTTCACTTCGTGACATTTCAGAATATGTGGATAGTAGAATAAGATGTCTTATAAAAGGAGAGGAAATGCTAAAACAGATAATTTGCTGTGGCAGAAAAGCTATTAAATAATTTTACCAAAATTATTTTTCCTTATCTATGCAGAAATAATTCTTAAATACAACGATCTTGCTTTTTTCATCAGAAATCACTTTTAGAAGAAAATACACATTACTTTAAATTTTATTAACTTATAACAATATTAGCACCCATAATGTTTATGTGAATAATACAAAATGAATGATGCAACAAATTAAAATAAAGTCATTTTCTTTTATTTAGTATTTTATTCATAATTTGCAAAGAAAGATATTTTCGTACAGATTTACGCAAAATAATTATAGAAAGTTAAGCACTAATAATTTTATAAAACATATTGCTATGTTTTGTTTTGTTTTGAAATAAAATGTTTTGTTCTAACTAGTGTTAGAGTTCTTTATCATACAAAAATTGAAAAACAAAAATGAGTAAGCCTTATTAACTATGAGATTATGAAAAAACACTGTTAAATTGTTGTTTAATACTGCTTCTTTAATTATATAGAGTCAAAATGAAAATGCTCACAACACTCTTCAAAATTTGTCATCACCCAATATCGGTTTAGATAAATTTACTACATTACGAATAATGGTTAGAGTTTTGTCAATGTGTGGCAGTAAAGTCCAGTCTAATTTTCATTTTAAAACAACAAATACTGTAGTTTCATTCTCTGAATAGCATGTTAAACATGTACCCTGGCCTTTGCTATTTCTGCAGTTTCCATTGCATCATGCTTGCTTAACTGATTTTGCTTTCTTATAAAAGGTGGGCATACTAAACCAATAGATCTAGCAGAACAAGCATCTTCTATATGAAAATCTTAATCCGTTATTATTTGATCTGCATAAGGATCAAGTAAATTTAAGAAATTTGATTTCTTAAATATGGCTTTGTCAGATGCCCTACCTCCATACGCTCTAATTAAACAGGTGATAAGACCAGATGAGGCAATTCCAACTAATACTTTAACAGTATGCTTACCATAGTAATGGGAGTAAGTTAATATTCTGCAACTAATACACTTTGGTTTTTCAACTAAAACTTCAGTGCAGTCCAAAATCACACGGACTTTACTGTATTTTTGAAAGCACAAAGGTAAGTTTTTCATGATCTCTTTTTTGGAAGGCCACACAATCCCAGCACCTAATACTTGACTGAAATAAGCAATAATATTGAAAAATATTCTTCTACATGTTGTCATGGAAACTTGAAATAAAACTGAAACACAAGCAAAGAACAAGGCCAGTTTTAACTTCATCATAACAATAACAATTTTGACTTTAGTAGATATTGTAGTAGGCTTACAAGCAGTGTAGTTGGAATGCAACTCACTAACACAGGCAGAGATGGTATCACGCATTTTAAAACTGTGTAAACCTGTGAGAATATTTAGTTCATTGTCTGATTTTATTAAGTCAAACACAGTACATTTTAAGGTTGAATATAAAAGTGTATTCACTTGAATTCCTTTTTTCATTAAAATATCCCTCTCCTCCTGAATGTTGGATTTTTCACTTAAACTTAATAGTGCTATAACTGTATCATTTTCTGTTTGTGATACTGACGTCATATCGTCATCCTCCTCTATTTGTGATATCGTTTGTTGATCTGTACATGCACAGCAGTCAATACGTGATTTAGACCAAGATGTACTGGGCTGTGACAGTTCCAAAATATTGGTGTCATTATTAGGTTGATATTTAGAATTTTCCTTGATAGAAGTTTTCTTATCAAACTTCCTTATCGGTATGCTTTTAGTTGGATACGAATTAGGTTTTAAATAATGACGAGCACATGGTAAACCTATGAAAACGTAAGTACCGTATGTGATAATAGTTAAAATATACTCATAGGAAATGTTGTTATTACCTGGCAAATAGTAATCGTCTTTGTCAAAATGCAAACTGCAAACGTACGTAGATTTCGTTGATTGCTTTCCTGACTTCAGTTTTAAATCCCATGTTTTTCTCAGTAATTTATTTTTCGGGAATGTGTGCATATGTACTGAGTTTGATGTACCTTTAGACTTACATCCAAATACACAGCAATACTTATTATTTACCATTGTAGGTTAAACACTTTCTAATTCTTACTGACCACAGACTTATATTATACCCATAGTAGTCGCCATTATGTAGTTCACGTTAATACCGCTAGATGTCAGATAGATCGTTGGCGCAAGCGAATTGCAACATGTTTCGTTACAGAAATGAAATTTGGAATTTCGAGTCTGGAAAATGACGATTTAAAAATTTTAATTTGTTTTACAAATATATACGCACATATATATATATATATATATATATATTGTACTGTACATTCGTTAGTCTCTGTGAATGCACAAGTAAAACATTGATTTTGCAAAACGAAAGCTTCTGTAAAAAAGCCACCAAAGCTGCCAAAAAGCTATCAAAAGCTACCAGAAGCTACCAAAGCTCCTGTAGAAAATGTATTTTATTCAAATCCAAAAGAATGAAAAATAAACAAAATATGTACTATAAAATGTCACCACGTCTGCCATATTTGAATAAGCAGTAAGTATTTTTAAAGCTGTATGTTCTTTTCAGAAAAAAGTTTTCTGGTGTTATTCTACACACAATTTTAATATTAGAAGCAAATTATTCGTAGTTTTCTTAAACTTATTAAATCGTTTTAATATTATTAATTAAAAGAAAATTACATATCAGATTCGTTTTATTACAATTTGTTTGTATTTACAAGACACTTTATTTCAACAAATGAACTCGGGAAATATCGTGATATTTATGAATTTTATGAACTATATTCTGAAACTATGGAATAAAATTGTTTTAGAAGCGTAATACTCAATCTTAAAAAAATTCATTTGAGAGATTTTGCCGGTAAAAAAAGAGAAATTTATTGAAATTAATTCAATAATGCCCAAAAAGTATTTCGAACGTACAAAAATTTCATTTATAAAATTTTTGAAAAATTAAATTTTAAAATTAATAGAAAATTTAAATTTTGTTACTAAATATTTTTTACATGGATCGAAAAGAAAAATGAAAAATTAGAAGCCGCCAATGCACTGCTTTTATTAAGAGAAGGAGGATCGAACAGAAAAAGATTGGAGATGTTACAGGCTGACAAACAGTTCTGACATTTAGATAAACCTTCCTTTGAACAATAACTGATAAATAAATAAATAAATCACAAAATGATAAGAAGACTCATCAAAACAAGTTTAAATTTCAGTTTTTATTTTGGCTACATTATCGAAATATCTTTGCTTAATATACATAATTCAATCATTTGGAACTCTCATGTAAAATTTCTAATCAATAAACAGTATTCTTTCAATCAAATATCAATTTAATTTTTAATGAAAATCCGCTTGATTTATAATAATTATTACAAGTATACAATAATTTTTCACACAATATATCAAATGAATATCCAGTTTTTCAAAGAATGCCCTCACAGATCAGCTGTTTAAACAGATTGCCTTTGAATTTTATTTCAGTTTCCTTCCTATATATATATACTGTATATATATATATATAAGACTTCCAAATTGTAACTACTTTCTTCGAAATTATTTACCTTACTTTACGTTTACTTTTTTTAACAACGAGATTGATGCTCGAAATAATCTCTTCGAAATTGATGTGTTATTAATGAAAGCAGAAAGTCGACCGCACTGTATTCCACACGCAGCGAAGTTTTCTATTGTAAAATTCCTCTTATATTTTAACTAAAAGTTAAAATAAATGAACAAAAATAAACAGAAAATTGATTTAATGATAGAAAAGTTTAAAAAAAAATTAAAAATTTCGAATAATTTTTTGTCGTTTCGAAATAAATAGTTTAATGGTATTAAAAGTCAGCGTATTGATCTTATAGAAGAGCTATACAGATAGTGAATAAGAATGCTTTGGACAAAAAGTTTGTCGCACACGGGTTATGAAACTTATTGTTAGAATCATTTAACGATATTTTTGGAAAAATTTAATGCTTTTTATGCGCTATTATACAGTAAATATTGAGAAATTCACTTCTATTATCTTTACAAGAAGTATGACGCTTAAGTAAAGAAACACACCTGTATAGCCAAAATAGTTATTAATTTTAGTTTTATTCAAAGCCACATATGACAACATTTTACATGTATATGTTACCTCTAAAGCTCGAAAGCCGTTAATGTGTACATTACCTAGCAGATCTTTAGATTAACTAGGGTGATCTGTTAAAGTTGCGAAAATCGT